ATGTGAAAAATATGACAAATTGAAAAACATCCAACATTGACAAATACAAAACCATTCCACCACGCCAACTCATGGTGAGAGCTCCTCCTGAACACAGGAGGTCCCAAATAAGCAAGTGAACCCACCGCTGCCCTCTATGGCCCCTAAAGGGACTCAACAGTCTCTGGTCCTTCCTCTCAACAGGGGCCTTTTAAGGCTTGACCCAGGCCCTCCCACCAAATCTGGGAGGGGACCGGCCAGGGAAGGTTCCAGCAGTTCTGGGCAGGTTCAGCCCAGTGCTCTGGCACAAGCCGTCAGGGGCAAAGGCTTGGACCCAAACACCAACATGGATCTTCCCCGGGGACTGGGGAGGCGTTCCTGTGAGCAACAGGTGTTCACCGAGGACCACCATGCTCCAGCATGTGCCAGAGCAAGGTGAATCACCGTGAGCAACGCACACACAGCTGTGGTGGGCGGTGGTCGCAGGGTGGCTCCTGGGTGGGAGGCAGGGAGCGCTCATGGCGGGTCGGGTTCCTTCTCTCCCCGCTGGCCAGGTGCCCTCACAAGCTGGGGCAGCAGCCCGCCCTGAGCAAAGCATACAGCAGCCCACGGGCCAGTGTCCTGGAACACCAGGTCACCTCCTGCTGGTCACCTTTGGCGACAAGGCAGGACTCCCAAACCTCAGAGGGCAGCAAGACCATGAGGGCTGTCCCACACAGTCCTCAGGACACAACCAGAAGCCGACTTCTGCTTGTCAGGGGTCCTCCAGCAGATGGGGCACATCAGAGGTTCCTCTTCTCTGGGGACAAGGTGAGAAGCATCCCCTCCCCTGTGTTCCCTTCCTGGGAGGCACCTGGAGGCCCAGAGGTACCTCTGACTGGTCCAGAGAGCCAGGTCCTCGCGGTCTGGCGGCGCCACCTGGTGGCATCGACGGGGAAGCGCAGGTCCGCCACCGTCCAAGCTGCACCTGCTGCTGTGGAGCCCAGGGGAAGAGGATGGTGCCCTAGAGGATCCTCAGCGCCTCACACACCTGGGACTCTGCGGGGCGGCGCCCAGCTGAACACCGATGCTGACTGCTCTTCTCCCCAGAGCCCGCTGGCACCGCCCCTGGGGTGCCCCCATCGGGCCTCCCGGAGGGGCTCCCTTCATCACCCTCGACCCATCCCTTTGGCTGTCACTTTGAACTCATCACTTAGCCCCTGAACTTCCTTTTCTTCCTTTTTTTAAAAAAGGTGGCGCTCGCAATACCTCTTGCCAGGCTGGCAGACAACTGGCCCAACACTTCCCCGCCGCCATGGCACTGCATGCCACCAAAGCTTTGATCCAGGCACAGGGAGGGCAGAAATGAGCTGCAGGAGGGAAGAGGGCATTTCCCCTGAGTAGGAACACAGCAGGTGACCACTAAATGGCCCCTCCTCCAGAGAGCAGGAGTGGCTGGGCACCTTCTAGACCTCCTAATTCAGAGGCTGAGTCTGGTAGAGCTGGGTCCTGCAGGACAGCTGAGAGGATCCCCCAAGTGAGGCCCTAATCCCCCCATCCACCCCACCCACCCACCCACCCTGCAAGAAGCAGCCCCTCCACACCAGGAGAGGCCCTGAGTTTGCAAATGAGCAGGAATGGCACCCTGGGGTCCTGAGGGATTCCAGTCCTGGGAGGCCTCACTGCCCAGAGGCCCTGCCCTGTAGCATCCCTTCCCACACTGGAATCCCACCTCTTACCTTTCCTCAGGCTGCTGTCCCCATCACTGTTCCCACAGGGAGACGGTGGGTGGTTATTGCAATGGTTTCAAACCTGATTCAAGCATCAGACTCACCTGAAGGGCGTGCCAAGCTCCAGCCTTGGGCTTCAGCAGGTCTCAGGTGGAAACTGAGAATCGACTTCTCACAGTTCCCAGGTGCATTGGTGCTGCTGTCCATTGACCACTGACTTAGAGTCAGACTGGGCCTGGGTGTGAATGCTGGCTGCTTGGCCTCACTTTCCTCATCTGTAGAATGGAGACCATTGGACCTAACCCAGTGCTGCCAAGAACATGGGCTGAGATGCTGCACGAAGGGTTGAGAGCCGAAAAGGCACCGGGCAGGTGTGCAGAAAATGGAGGCTGCTGTCTTGGCATTTGTGTGCCCTAAGGACCAGGCAGAGTCCCATCCGCAGCTGACCCAGCAAGGTGGGGGAGGGAGGATTAAAAGGAGAGAGAACAATGAAGAGAGAAACGTGGTGGTTTTATTTGGGCAGCTCAGAGTTTGGAGAGGACACAGAAGGCAAGCACCGCATTCCAGCCCTGTAACAGGGATGCAGTGGGAGGATGGGGCACAAGAGCGAACCCTCCAGGAGCCCAGGCCACTAGCTGGAGGGATCCCAGGTGGAGGGAGCCTCGAGGCAAGTCTTCCTCCACCCCAGAGGGGAGATGGGCATTTCAGGCTGAGAAAGCAGCTGCTGCCCTGCTGCTCAGTCTGGCCACACATTGGGACCACGTGGGGACCTTTGAAAACCCCAAGCCCAGACACACCCCAGACCACTGGCATCTGAGTCTTGGGAGTTGCTATGCACTGAGAGCTTGTGTCCCCCAGGAGTCCTAGGTGGAAACTCTAAGTGCCAGGGAGGTGGGGCCTCTGGGAGGCAATGGGTGGACAGAGGTCAGCAGGGTGGAGCCTTCAGGATGGGACTAGTGCACTCAGGAGAACAGGAGGTGAGCTTTGGTGACACATGTGTTCAGATGCTGTGTCTGTATCCTGATGGACTATGGTTATTTGTTTTCATATTGTTGAGACTTTGTCGATTCTGGGTGCTCATTTTTAATTGCATCTGTTTTGCAAATGTTAACCAAGCAAGAGGAAGTAAAGTGACCTGAGATCCCCCTGTGTGTGCACACACCAGGAAGAGGACCTCACAAGACCCGGCCCTGCTAGCTCTGTCCTCACACATCCAGTCTCCAGAACCAGGAGAAGTAAACTGTGGCAATGCACCCGGCAGTCACAGCAGCTGGTTACAGCTGCTGGGCTAAGATGAGGAAGGGGCCAGGCACCTGAAGCACTTGATCCCCAGGTGTCAGTGTGAGTCCAGGGCTCCATGGAGAAAGGAATTCACCTTCCTGCACAGGAATAGCCCAAGAGGCAGGCATAGGAGGCAGGGCCAGGAATGGGCAGGATGTCAGCCTGGGCCATGTCCTCAGAGCCATGGAAGAAGTCTGACTAGCAAATGAAACAAGCAAAAGGGCAGGACTTTGATTTGCATAGCGTGCAGCCTTAGGTACATGTTTGCATAGGAATAGGACTTGCCATGCCTCAGGAAGGGACTGGCTAAGGGCTCCCCCAGCCTGTCAGGAAGTGACTTCCAGGATTTTGAGGATGTCCCTGGCTCATTTTAGGATGCCCTGAGCCTAGACAATAGCCAACAGCCAAGGGGTCCAATAGACCCTGGGTTCCACCAAGAACTCTCCCTTGGGTGGCCAGTCTTGATGGCCTCAGGGTTCCAGGGACTTTGCTGCATCTCAGCTGGGCTAATGTGCTTGGAGGATGCCTAGAAACCTCAAAAGCCCAGCACCTGGGACTGCCCCCCAAATCCCACTGGTGGTGCTCTGAGTCTTTGATGGATTTTTGTTCAGTTCCATAGCCTGAGCTAGGCCCTCAGGACAGAAAATCTGATAGTTGTGGGGAAGAAGGGGAAGGTCAGAATGGAAGACCCCTCTGAGAGCTGGTGCTCGACGCTGGGCAGAACCTGAGACTGAGCAGAGACCAGGAAGACAGGGCCTTCCTTTGCTTTCTAAGGATCCTCCCAGGGTCTCCCCTGGGTCCTGCCCAGCAGCTTCCTCCACCATTCCCAGGGACTCACTGACTGTGCTCACAGGACCCAGTGGAGTTTGCAGACTCTCAGTTGAGGATGCAGTCAGGAGATGTTCCTAGTAACCAAGGAGGGAAACATCAAAGTCAGGAGCCCACAGGTGCCACCACCAGCTCTCCTGCTGCCCAGATGTCCCCAGGACTCACCCTGACTGAAAGATTATTTTGTGAGTCATTTCTTAGGGAGGTGACCACCAGAAGTCCCTGTAGAGGAAGAAGCCAAACCAGGAGACGAACGAGGCCAGTGGACAGTGTGTCAAGGAGCACCTGAGGCTCATGTCCCCTGAGAGAAGGGGACAGCATACAGCACCCAGAGTGACCCCAGGCAGGGGCAATGGAGCAGGGCACAGCATAGCCACCAGCTCCCTTTGGTCATTGAGTGCTGCTCATGGAAGCATTTGGTCCTTGTCATTTGCAGCTGGCCTGTCATGTACCCACACTTTAGTGACCAGAGATGGAGCACAAAGGGAGGCAAAGGGAGGTATAGCATCCATGCACAGGGATGGAGCAGGGCACGTATAGCATCCATGCACAGGGCAGTGAATTCATGTGTCCCTCCCCCCACAGGAACTGGGCCAGTGTGTCCACCCACCAAGTGCAATCCACCCACGAGGGCACCAGGCTACACTTACGGCCCACTCGGGGGACACCATCACATGCAATTAGAGAAGTGGTCCACATAGAGTCCAGCAATCACGACATGTCCCAGCCCCCGTGCACACAAGTGACCTTGCCACCAAGTGGCACCAGGGGCGGGACAGGACTGCTCCTACATGCACTCATGCAGTCATTGGAGAGAAGGGGTTGCTCAGGCTCCCTGTGCCCTCCCAGTGATGGTCAGGAGCAGCTCAGGAAGGTTGACATGGCTGAAAGTACAATTCTAATGACAAAGGTAGATTATCTTGGGTCACAGGAAATCAGTGAGAGCACTGGATACTGTCCTCCGCATATGGCGGTGTTTTCTAAAAATGTGCACAAGAGATTACCTGCACTTGGGCTGAGGAAATGAAGGGCTTGTTGTGGATTTTGAAGGGCCACAAGGCAAAATTCAGCCTTCATGCAGGGCTTGTCCCCAAGCCCAAGGTCTTGATGACAGACTTCAGTGTCACTGCTCAAACCACACTACCCCAAAACGAGGAGAGAAGCCAGCTCCCCACGTGTGTCTCTGAGGAGTGGACGGAGCCCTCACTTCCTAGGCAGGTGGCAGCACCTCCCTGTGGCCAGGCACAGCAGGAGGTCCCTGTACACGTGCAGGAGCCTGTTTTGCATCAGCTTGAAGGCGATGCACAGGATCTCCATCCCGATGATGATGTACAGGGAGAAGAACAGGAAGAAGGTCGGGTGGTCCAACTTGGTGTCCCCGAAGCCGATGGTGGTCAGTGTGATGAAGCAGAAGTAGAAGGCGCTCTCGAAGTTCAGGTTGGTCTCCCAGATGGGGAGGATGGCGGCAGCACAGGAGATGTAGGCCAGGACCACCAGGACGATGACAGGGAGGGGGACATCCAGCCTCTCCACCTGGCACCCCACCTCATCCAGGTTGCTGAGGATGGAGGCAGACAGCCTCCCCAGCGCCAGCTCTGGACACGAGTTGCTCCTCTCCATGGACCGTGGGGCCAGGGCCAGCAGGTTCTCTTTCTCTTGTGCGAAGAGAAGACTCTTCAACAGCTCTGCGTGGCTGCCTGGGTCTGAGGGGCACTTGCCTGACTTGGGGCCACGGGGATCTTCAGCGCTGATGACGATCCGAGGGACAGAGGCCACCCCTGGCTTGGCGATGGGCTTCCTCCTGCAGCGCAGTCCAGAGCACCACTCAGAGGGGGCGCGAGGGAAGAAAGGGAGTTTTCGGAACTGATTGTAGGACTTGGACAGGATGGTTGCCAGGATGTCCCCTATGTCCGTGAGAACCAGGAACATCAGGGGGATCCCAAAGAGGGCATAGAGCATGCACAGGTACTTGCCAGGCTTGGTGACAGGGTAGATGTGGCCATAACCTGAAAAAGACGATGGAGCCTGGGGTTCATTTCTGTTCTCAACACCCCCACAATCTTTCAAGACACCCCCTCCGTTTCCTCTCCTTGGCCTGATGTTTACAATGTGTCAATTTGTCGTACCCACAGGAGAGCTCAGCGGTTGGGTGTGGGCTTAGCGTGCACAAGGCCCGGGTTCAAGTCCCAGCACCAAAGAGGAAGGAATGAAGGAAATTAAGATATGCTGCTCAAAGCCTTCGCCACCTGCTGGGTATTGTGCCTGCCTTGGAGGAGGGACAGAGGGAGGGGCCATCTCCTCCTAAGGATGAGGAAGCACTCATCCAGATTCCTGCCTCCAAATGGCCTTGTCCAGGGGCAGCCCATGTTTGGGGGAGATGACCCCCTTCATGTCCTGTGGCTGTCTCTGAGGGTCTCCATAGGGGTGGTCTGCTCCCCTGGAAGGGCAGGAAGAGCTCAGGAGAGGAACAGACGCTTTGCCACCCAACCCACCACCTCTCCTCCCTCCAGAGACTCTGGCTCTAAGAAGCCACCCTTGTCCCCTGACTGTCTGGCCCACCCTCTGTGTCTGCACATGGCACTCACTAAACGCCATCAGTGTGCACAGCGGTGTGCGCGGTACTGGGCCAAGGGCAAGATGGAGGACAAAACCAACACAGCTGCTGCCCACGGAGCCGCGTGTGGCTCCCAGAGGAGCAGGAAGTGCCCCAGGGACAGGGAAGCTCTGAGCCCCCCGGGTGCAGAAGCCACAGCCTGGCTCAGGTCCCAGCCCCAACCCTTGCTACGCCATTACCTGACTGCTGGCGTTCCAGGTTTCATGTCTGTGAAACGTGGGGACAGTCCCTACACAGGGAGGGACCAGCTGGAAGGACGCCATGAGGCTGGGCCGGGCCCCGCAGTGGGCCACTGATGGTCCCGGGTCCTGGCCCTGGAAAGCCGAGGGCTGCATGCAGCGGGGTCTACAGAGCTTCACGGGGTCCTATCACCACCCTCCGAAGGGGAAACTGAGGCTCAGGGAAGGAAGCCACATGGCCAAGGGCACACCTGTGAGGAAGGGTGGAGTGGGGACTGCAGCGCACAGGGTGCTCCAGGTCCGGCCTGCTCCCAGGGTCAGACCAGGTCCTCGTCACACATGAGCACTGGCCACCGGGGCTAAGGGAGGGACGGGCAGGGGTCACCACACGGGGCACAGTCTTTCTGCCTTCACCCCCACACTGCAGAGGACAGGAGCAGACAGATGTCCCACCCCCAGCCCATGGCCAGGGTCCTCGGGAGGGCCTGCGTGGATGGCCTCGACAGGCAGAGGGAACAGCTCTGCTGCTCGGTGCCTGTGCTCAGTGCCCGATGCCATAAAGCCTGATTAATACACCAACATGCAGCCCAATTATGCAAATTAATTTGAAGCAATTCCCAGGCTGGCTGGGCTCCAGCCTCCACAGGACTGCAGCTCCCGGGGTGAACGGGCCTCTGGCTCTGCCTTCCAGGAGCAGGTGGCGTCCAGGACTTCTACCCTCCAGGACACGGTGAGGGTAAAAGGGGTGGCCCTCCAGGGGTCTCGTCCATTTTCATGGGTCCCAAGTCTCCATACTGCTCTGGCTGGTTCCAGAGTGGCACCCCTTGGTGGCAGGGTCGGTTCCATGAGTGCACGCATCATTCGGTGCACATTGGGTGCTTACTGCATGCAGCGGGCACATGCTGTTGGCCAAGTCGGCGTGGCAGGCAATCTTGCTGAGCAGCTGGATCACGGGAGGCAGATGGTAGTCAATAGCACACCTGCCAGGATTCATTGCAGATGGGGATCAATGGCAGGAAGTGCAAGTGCCAACTTCTCTAGGCACCAGTCTAGATTTAGGATCAGGGGAGGTTTCTTGGTGAGGGGACTCGAGTGGAGATTGGAATGATGACCAAGGATTTCCATTTGCAGAAGGGGCAGCAGCATGTGCAGAGGCCCTGTGGTGGGTCTGTGGTGTGGTGAGGCAGTGGGTGCACTGCCGTCCATGCGGGAGTCGGGCGCTTGGATCCAGCCTCGCCCACAGGCCAAGCTGTGAGCTCAGGGCACAGGGCACAGGCTGTGTCTGCCCAGAGGGACACTGCTTTCTAATTTCCGACAAACTCGTCACCCAGGGTGAAGCTGGTTCCCTGTGTGACAGGCTGAGAGAAGGCCAGTGTGGCCAGTAGACTAGGACGCAGGACAGTGGACACACGCTGTGGGTCTGTGGAGGTTGGTGGGGCCTAAGGGCTCACAGGAGAGAAGTGGCGGTGTCTTGATCATTATGGAGGGTGGAGAAGACCCTCCAGATAATCCCAGGCTCATTCCTGGGGTCGGCTCCTCCCACCTGGCTTGGAAGGGGGGGTCTCTCCCAGGGCAGTGAGGATGATGATGGAGGAGAGCAGCCTGAGCCTCCTGGGAACCTAAGTGCCCTGAGAAGCCTCTGTAGCAGGAAAAGGCAGAGGGGCTTCACACCCAGGGGGGAGGGGGAGGCCATGTGACCTCAGAGGCCGAGACTGCAGTGCTTCAGCCACACCTAAGGACAGCTGGGCCACCTGAGGATGGGCCAGGCAGGGAGGCGCCTCCCTGACCCTGGAGAGCCCCGCCCACCACTCCTTGAGTTCTCCAGTCAGAGCAGCTGGTTCTGAGCTGCTGGCCCCAGAACTCCAGAGAGCACAGGTCTCTGGTTTTAGTGGCCCCTGGGGGGGGGGCCCTACAGCAGCCACAGGAAGGAGCACAGTCCCAGCTGCACCCTGAGAAGAGCACCTGCTGCACCCCGAGGGCTGGCCAGTGCAGGGGGATGGTGGGAGGCTTCAGCACACAGCTGGCCAGGAGCGGGCGGGGCTGGGCCCTGTGGGATCAGGACAGGCAGGAGGGACTGCTAGACAGGGGTGTGTCAGAGACCTCAGCAGCAAGCCAGATGGTGAGGACTCTGGGTGTCAGAAAGGAGCTGGGGACTAGTGCATGCAGCAGGCGCCCCCTGAATGCTGGGTGGCAGGGTGGGGTGCTGGCAATTCCCCACCCTGGGAGGATTCTGCATGTGGCATCCAGAAACATGGAGACGGGTCAGTGTCTTGGGACAGACAGGAGGCCTTGACACCTTGCTGGGGGCCAGTGCGCTCTGTGACCTTGGCCAAGGGCTCTACAGCATGCTGCCTCAGTTCCCTCGGGGACAATACCTAGTACCCAGCACTGGGGGTGGGGGACACTCACTCATTATGTGTCAAGTGCTTGAGACAGCTCCCAGCCCAGAGTGAGATTAGAAAGCAAGAGACCTTGACTCGAGCTTCTCAGGACCCCATGAAGGAGCCTCCACAGGAGGTGGGCAGAACGCACTGTGCGCCTGACAGCAGGAGGTATTACAAGATGCCGGTCAGTGGGACAGGACTTTTGTCCTCTGGAAAACTCTACCACAGCCAGAAGGCCAGCTGCTCATGCAGAGGAGGCTGGACACACGATGGACGCTTCAGACCCAAAGCCACCTGCAGCTCCCAGGAAGCAACGCGTCACCACCCTGCTCTTCCTTGAAGTGCGTCTTGACGGGCACCCAGTGGGGACGATGGAGAGGGTGGAAAATTCACTCTTTCTTTTAGACATTACACTCCTTGCAAATGGAGGCTGGCTCTGATGGCCACCCTCCCCTGCCCATGTCACTCAGGGCAGAAGCCAGTGTTCACACGGCCAAGAAGCCCTGTGTCCCCCACTTCATCTCCACTCTCCCCTCACGCCCTCTGCTCCAGCCACACTAATGGGTTTATAGCTCCTCACACCAGCCAGGCAGGCTCCCACCCCAGGACCTTTGCACTTGTGTTCACTTGGCGTAAAACCTTTGCACTCAGCATACCCACTGGCCTTGTTCCCTCACCCTCAAACCTGTTCCCATGCCACCTTCTTGGGGTTCTTCTCTCACCACCCATGGCAGGCTTTGGCCCCTCCTTGTCCCTTTCCTCTTAACTATCTGACCCACTCAGTGTCACCATCTGAGTATCGACTTTTGTCTGTTTTGTCCCTGGACACCCACACTGTGCCAAGGACAGTGCCTGGCACTTCAATAAACAATGGTTGAATGAGCACATTCACTGAGCATCTGCTTTACACCAGGCAGGTGTGGGTGGGGTTGGGACACCAGGAAGAGCTGGCAGAGGTAGCCTGATCCTTTGGGGTCTCTGAAGCTCTCCTGGACAGGAGCCCACAAGCCTGAGCCATGTGATCTCGCTGGAGTCCAGGCCTGAGGTGCCAGCATAGATTCCTGTGCCCACGCCTGGCATGGGCCCACGGAGCCATCAGTCCTTAGGGATGTCAGTGCTGGTTAAATGGAACCACAAACAGAAGCCAGCTCACTTTCCAGACAGAGCACACCCCCAGCTCTCCTGCACCCCTGCAGAGGTCAGGAGAGGCTCCAGTAGCAACTGGTAATCCCCAGCTCCCAGACAGGGTCCCGGGGTTGCATTCACTTGACTTAAAGGAAAGGTCCTAACATTTCTTGAAAAGACCTAGAAAGTGCTCTTAGAGTCCAAATCCCCCCCACAGCCAAACGAAGGCTGGCAATCTCCACTATGACCTGGATTTAGTGGACAAGCAACAGAGAAGTCTGGTCACACAGCCCACAGCCAACGAGGGTCTGCACCCTTGTCCTGAGGACCTTGCCTATGCTCCTGCCCAGCCAGAGGCTCTCCTGGCAAGCGGGGGTTTGCTGAGCTCTAAGCAAAGAGCCTTTGTGGCTGCCTCTGAGACAGAGAGGAACTGCAGAAGATGTGCTCCCCTCCGAGCCTGTCCAAGGAGGCGAGGCTCAGAGCACAGGAACCCCCAAAGCAAGGTGTTAACTACCACAGTTACCGGATGCTGCCGTGCATAATGGAGAACCACGCCATTTCCCACAATGCACTCCGACGTCCCAACACAATCAGGGCTCTGCACTCTGAGTACTTCACTGCTCCAGGACTTTCCTCTCTGCGGCAAGGGGTCCATCCAGCTGGCCACGGCTGGGGACGAACCAGCCACACAATTGTCAGCTGCCCTTTCCCAGCATCAAGGCCAGGTACTTCTCAGGTGGCCCAGAGATCCAGGGCAGGAAGCAGTTTTCTCAGAGGGACCTTTGAACACGTTATTGATTCCAGCGTGGAACACCTCCAACATCCTTCTGCAGCTGTGATTACTGTGCAGCCCGGGGTCCTAATTGACTCAGACGCTGGGTAGTGGCCTGGCTTTCCTGAGACCTAGAGCAAGCTAATGCATTCCACCAGACCAGAGATGCTCAGCTGGGCTCCCCTGGGACCGCCTGGAGCGCTCTGAGAAATACTGACGCCTGGGCTTCTTCTGGAAAGATTCTGGCCTGATGGGTCTGGGGCAGGACCCAGCCATGGGAGTTTGGGACAGGTAGCAGGGTGGTTGCAGCCTGTAGCAGGCTGAGATCCCGAAGTGCAGGCTGGTGCTTCCCCAATGGTGGGGGGCCCCAGAATCATGGAGAGCTCATCAGGAATGAGTGACTGGCCCCTGCCTGTAGCTTCTGGCTCAGCAGGTCTAGGATGGGCCTGAGGAGAATCTGCATTGCTAAGAAGTTCCCCAGGGCCACTGAGGCTGTGGTGCAGGGCCACACTCTGAGGACTCTAAACAATCTGTGCTTCTCAACAGGGGCCTCTGGAAACATCTGGAGACATTTCAGGTAGCCACAGTGGGTGGGTCAGGGGGAGGTGGAGATGCAGCTCAGCCCCCTCAGTGGGCAGCTGCCCCTCCAACAGAGAATTGTCCAGAGCAGGTGGCCACAGGGCCGAGGCTGAAGAGCCAGCATTAGACCCATCCAAGTTCCTGACCGGAGGTGACGAACTGTACTGTGCCTCTAGCCCTCAGCTCACCTCGAGCATCTCCTCTGTTGATGCTCTCTATGCCTGTCTCTCCTTTATGGGTTCCGTGAGCTGTGGGCGCCCTGGAACGGCAGCAGGGGACCTGATCTCAGTCCTGCCTCTGACCTGGTGGCCTTGAGCAGTCTCTGACCAGTGCTCCCTCAGCTGTGGAAGGGGACATTCCCAGCCCCTTGCTCCTGGGGCTGTGGTATGAGTTCATGTCCAGGCCCACAGAGCGCCTGCCCCCAGGCTGCCACTGGCTGAGTGCTGTGCCTGCTGTCCTTATGCTCTGTGCCCTCCCTGCCCATGCCCATATCGGCATCGGGGGAGTAAGGGCAGCAGCCACAGGTCCCTTGCAGCTGGTGGGTCTGCCCATTGCTCCTGGAGCACATGGCAGTAGAGTCTGGTGGCACTCAACGGCCACTCCCCTGTTCCTCCTGCAGTGCCACTGCTCCCCTCCTGCAGGCCAGGGAGAGATCAGTTTGCTCACCCCAAAGCCCTTCTTTTGTCTAAACTTTTTGGCTGTGGAAAGCAGGCCCAAAGGGAGGCCTCCGGGAAGAGATGCTTACCTGTCCCATGGAAGGAGATGGGCAGCACTTTCCCTGAGACCTGGCCATGTTTGAGAGGCGTGGATCTTGTGACCCACTGAGCAGGATGGAGAAAACCCAGTGCTGGAGAAATCCCGTTGGCCAGGAGGGACCGAAACTAGTGAGCAACCACGCTCCTGGGGACAGTTAGGCGTGAGAGCGTCCCACCACCTCCACCTCCACTGGCCCTCCCGCCCAGCCCACCCTGCTGGACCTCCAAAAGGGAACCAGATTGGAGCAGGCCCTCACCACAGTGATCTCAGTAGGGTCTCCGCCACGCTCTGCCCTGTCCTCTCTCCCAGGGCAGTGGTCTCTTCAAGGGACCACTGAGCCCCGAGCTTTGCCTGGGTTGCTTTCTCTGCGGCGGAAGTTCCTCACCCTTCTGTGCCTCACTAGTGATGCCTCAGACCTCAGGTCACATGTCACTTCCACAGGGAACCCTCCGGCCCTCCCAGAGCAGTCAGGACCCCTCCCATTCTGTTTCGCCTGACACAGTCCCAAGCTGCTGGGTGTTTATGGGGCTGTGGGTTCGTCCTTCCCTGGCCCTTCCTGGGCCACACCAGAGCCCCCACAGGGCAGGGAGCACCAGTCTGGTTCTGTGTGCTGGGGACACAGAAGGTCAGGGACAGAGGGAGCAGGGCGGGGTCGGGGTAAGGCCAGGTGGCCTGGGCTCAGATGCACAAGTGCTGTGTGATCTCACACCCGGCAGACCTGCAGCTGCCTCAGGGTCCCCGTGTGAAATGGGGAAAGGATGAGCACATCTGCCCCGTTGTGAGCATCAGACGAACTCATCCTCCAAGATGCTGGGGCACTGCCAGTGCAAAGTGCCACCAGAGTCACCCCTGCCGTGTGCTGCTGCTCAGGGAGGGGGGAGCATCTGTGGAGAATCTCAGGACAGAAGGGAGGGAGAGAAGAAGAAAGACAGGAGGAAGAGGGGGAGGGAGGAAGGCAGGCATCTTCACATCCCGGTTCCATCCCTCTGTGACCCAGGAGCCCACGCTTCACAGGAGCACCAAGAGGAGGGTTTGTGGCTTTGAGGGTCCCCAGAGCTCTTTGAATGAGTGGAGGGACAGCTCCTCCCCCATGCCCTGGCCCTGCTGGGCTCTGGGTAACTTATACGAAGGCATTCCTCCTCAGCTTGGGGACTGGAGACACACACAAAGCAGGTGCAGGGATATGGTGTGGCCCCTCCTCCCTCTCTCCAAATGCCTTCCCTCCGCAGGAGGCTCTAGGAATCGGGATTTGATTAACCATCATCATCATGACCTTAGCACACAGCCGGGCACATTGTAAGTGTTAGCCAGAGCCGCCAGGAATCCGGGCCCCCTGACAGCTATGTGTCTCCAGCCTGTCCCTCTGGCTTCCTGAGCAGGGTGGGCAGGCTCCGCAGCACCCCATGGACCTGCAAGGCCAGCAACCACCTTTGGGGGAAGATCACTGGATAAGGATATCTCAGTGGCTGATCACGGGGGCTAGGTCCACCTGCTGCAGCCGTCATGAGGCAGAGTTCAAAAAGAAACTTCCAGTCCAGCAGAGCCCGGAGCTTGGGGTGGAAGGCAGTGGGGGCCGGCACTTGCAACTGTTTCAATGTGTCACGGAGGCAATGAACTGCACCGCTCCCCTGCTGCTCTGAGGACGGAGGAAGCCCCGCCTCCAAGCCTGGAAGGTGCCAGTTGCCCTGTGCACGCCCCTCCACCCCATCTGCACCCAGCCTCCTTCGTGAGGTCCTGTCAGAGGTCTCTGCAGGCCCAGGGTGCCCTACGTATTGTCGTCATCTAGAAAGTCTTTTGGTTTCTGTTTTACACTTACACCTGTGTTCCATTCCGTGTAGACTCCTGGTGAGGTATGAAGTCTGGTCAAGGTTTTCTCCCTTCCTTTCCCAGCGCATGGAAACATCCAGTCTTGTTCTGAGTGGGCAGGAGGCATTCGCCCATTCCTCCCTCCCTTGCAGACAAGTGAGGAAAGGGGGCCAATAACTAGACCCACACATGATAAAGGCCTCTGGAAACTGGCACCCTGGCTGCGCTGTTACCACTGCCTGTCTGGGAGACCAGGCACACCAGGCCAGGGTGTCACAGACAACCCTCAGGAAGGATGACAGTTCCTTGACAAAACACACAAAAAAATTGGGTTTGGTACTTGGAAGTGGAAACTGTGGTTTCAGGATGGCAAAGGCCAAACAAAGCCGAAGACAATACCCATGTCACCCTTCCAAAGCCCCTGCCAGCAGCTCCAGGCTGCCCAGGAGGATCCGTAGAAACTTGGGGGTGGGGCGGCCAGCAGGAGCGCCCGCCCGTCAGTAATTCCCACACAGCAAGACGGGCTCCGACTGCTTCCCGACTTCCTGGGGGAAGCCACACACCATGCACTTAGTGCTGGAGCCTGGCCACTCTCCTGCCACTCCCACCGTCCTCCCCCTGGCGGGGCCTGGATGCTCCAGCCTCCTCCCCAGGCTCCTCCTGCTCTGCCCTGTCCTGCATGCTCTAGGAGGATGGAGGCCGAGGGGCCGCCCCAGGCCAGGAGGTGCTGCCCAGAGGCCATGGGGAAGCTCTTCCCTGGCCTCTGCTTCCTCTGCTGCTTAGTGACCTATGCACTGGTAGGTGCTGCGCTCTTCTCTGCCATTGAGGGCAGCCCAGTCCTGAGGCCAGAAGATGAAGAGGTGTTCAAGGCCTTCCTGCACAAGTTGTCTGACATCCTGGAATGCAATGGGACAGGTAGGTGCCTCCCCTGGGAGGGGCAGCCTTTCCCCCTGGGTGAAGACAGCTTCCTGGGAGCAGGCTGGGTCCGGGAGCTATTGCCTGTGTCCTCCCAATTCCTGAGCGACTTTAGGCAAAAGACTTCTCTCTGAGCCTCCAGTTTCTCCCTTGGAAGTTGGGAGATTAATAGATTCTCCGGGTGCTGCAAAGAATGTGGGAAGAACACTGAGTCTCCTACGGATGCTCTGCAAGGGCTGCTCCCAGCTCCACCCAGCCTCCCAGGCTTTGGGGAAGAGGATGCCTGGAGATCTGGCGGTCTGGGCTGGAGGAGGGCAGAGGTGGAGCAGGGGTGCTCGGCTGCTCCTCAGAACTATGCCAGCCTGACCTGAGATTTTTTCCTGGGACTGGAATTCAAGGAATCATCCGAACTGGGCTTGGATCCCTAGGATGAGCCAGCAGCCTGCCCGACTCTCCCATTTCCAGTTTCAAAGGCCTTGCTTACTGTGGGGCTAGGGAGGGGAGGGGTCACGAGGAGAACCTGGGGCCCGTCTCTGGCACCTGTTGCCATCCCAGCTTTCCCTGTCTCCTGGAGAGATGGGAGACCTGCCACAGTTTGAGACCTGCCAATCACAGGGACCCTGTGAGAGGCACAGCAGCTCAGGGACAGGAAGCCTCTGGAAGACAGACACACTTTACAGGTGTTCTCTCCCCTTGTGCGAAATCTCTTGTTTCTACTCTTGTTCCCCAAAGGAAGCTTACAGAGGTGTATTCAACAGAGCAAGAGTAAACAAGAGAGAGTAAATGCGTTCAAGACAAAGGAAGAGCAGGCTGTAGAGGCCAGGGCAGGAGCAGGGTGCTGGAGCTTCTGCCTCCCTCCCCGGGAGCCGGCCTCAGCCCTGGGCTCTCTGCCCCTCCCACGGCTGGCCTTGATTTGGGAGCAGGTGCTTTAGCTGGTCCAAGTGGGAAGCATCCCCTCTGTGGAGGGCCCTGCTCCCTTGCAGACAGACGCAGGCCTACCCTGTGCACTGGGAAATGCCATGGCCCCTGCTGGACACTTGGAGTCATCACAAGGACTAGACTCCAGCAAGTTCAAGGCTCTCCTAACCAGCCCACTCATCAGAATTATTCAGGGAGCCTATTCTTAGGCTCTTTCTCAAACTCACTCAAACAGGATCTCCAAGGGTGGCTGGAAACCTTATTTTTAAAAGGTTTTCCCAGTGATTCCCAGGCACAGCAAGGGCTAGGAACACAGAGCTGGCCCAGCTTCATTTTGTACTGATTTTCATTGGATATTAAAATACTCCATAAGCGAAGACCCTGGGCTAATCCCATTTCACACAGTGTCCCTCTAAATCCTCCCGAGAATCCCTTACACTAGGTATGATTGACCCTCACCTTTTAAATTTTTATTTATTTATCCATTTCCGTTGTTGATGGGCCTTTATTTTTTATTTATACGTGGTGCTGAGAATGGAACCCCGTGCCTCACATCTTCCAGGCAAGCGCTCTACCACCGAGCCCCAGCCCCAGCCCATGAATGGTCCCCCTTTTATAGATCAGGAAACTGAGGCACTGGGAGGTTAAACAACTTGTTCAAGTTCACAAACTAGAAAAAAAGGAGCCAGGGATTCGGCCCCAGGCACCTGGACTCCAGAGTCTGAACCTGTCACTGCCGTGTTGTGCTGCCTGTCACGTGGGAGGCTGAGGCTGAGAGCCTCTTGTCCTTGGCCATGGCCACAGAAGTGGTAGAATCTGAGCTGAGCCTGGAACCCAGGTGTGGGGACTCCCGGGCGGGTGCCGGTCAGCTGGTGCTCAAGTCCTCCTCGGGCCATTCTTTTCGGACAGTACCTCTGGTGGCATCTTCTGGAGTCCCAAAGCCCACTGGTTGCCTAGGCCCACAGAATTACCCAGGAACCACTCCAAGAAGCCAGGGTTGCCACCCTGCCCTCTTGGCCCAGGGGCCAATGCAGGGGACCCTAGGTTTCCCATCCCATAAGGGAGGGCACCTGGTGCCAGAGAACCCAGTGTGATCACCAAAGCCCATCAGGCTCCATGGTGAGCGGGTGTAATTTGCATCAGGATTCGGCCGAGTGTCCAGAGAGCATTTTGGTCTCAGGTGTCACATGTCCAACAGACAGAGCAAGAAGGTTTGTCCCTCTTTGAAAGGTGAAAGGAAGGGAGGTTCCAGAAGTTAAGGAAGCTCCCCGAGGCTGCCAAGCAGTCCCAGAAGGCGCAGGGCTGTCTCTTAGGGATCCTCTCACGGGACCGTGTGGCTCTCTGCTCTCCACAGGGTCCAGGACAGGACCTGAGGAGCAGAAACGGTCTAAAGGCGAGCAGGAGGGCCCGAGGGCCAAGCTTTGGTGTTAATGGGGACTACAGGACAGGGTTGCCGGTCCCTGTGCTTGGGCAGTGCTGTCTTGAAGGGCAGTGCCCCTGCCTCACTCTCCTCTCTTTCTCCAGTTGCGGAAGGCAAGACACAGCACCTGCGGAAACACCTGCAGACCATGAACCCCGAGTGGTTGCACCAGCCGGAAGACTGGACCTTCCTGAGCGCGCTCTTCTTCTGCTGCACGGTGTTTAGCACCGTGGGTGAGTGCGGAGGCAACGGCGGGCCTGCGGAGATGGCTCAGCCACAAGCCATAGCCTGCCTGCAGAGAGACCTGGGGAGAACCAGGAAAGAGGGAGGCAAGGTGGGGGAACCCCTCCGGGCTCAGGAGGGCACTAGCCAAAGCCCAACAGTACAAGGAGCATCGGGAGCAGAAGCAGGTTAAGTCACAGAGGGAGGTGGACCACAGGGCTCAGGACGCTGGGTTGACCCTCAGGCAGTTGAGTGACCAAAGGGCTTCAAGCCAGGGAAGGGTGTGCTGATCAGCATCCCCGAGAGACCACATTTCTGCAGCAGTCAAGGGGAGAGACGATGACACCTGACCTAGGACAGTGGCTGTGAGGCTGGTGGAGGGCAGGAGGAAGACTTCAGGGGACAATCCAGAGCTGGGAGGGTGAGGAGGACCCCTGGGAGACACCAGAGTTTCTGTCGGGTGGGATGGGCAGGCTTGGGGAGGGTGGTGAGGATGGGGGCCCGGTACAGAGGTGTTGAGCAAGGGGACAGTGGAGGGTGAGTCCCCAGTGGCCTCCAAATGGAGAGGCCCAGCCCTGCTGGAAATGTGGTCCTGGGGACCTGGGGAGGGCAGGGGGAGACAGGGCCAGATAGGTGGGTTTCAGAGTCTCCGACACCTAGATGGCAGCTGCTTCCTTGGGAATGGAGCACAGCACTAGGGATGGGTGGCAGCCTGGGGGCAGGGTCTCTGTGGGCCTGGAATGAACTCATACCAGAGTCCCAGAAGCGAGGGGCTGGGAATGTCCCCTTCCACAGCTGAGGGAGCACTGGTCAGAGACTGCTCAAGGCCACCAGGTCAGAGGCAGGACTGAGATCAAGTCCCCTGCTGCCGTTCTAGAGCACCCACAGCTCACGGGACCCATAAAGGAGAGACAGGCATAGAGAGCATCAACAGAGGAGATGCTCGAGGTGAGCTGAGGGCTAGAGGCACAGTACAGTTCGTCATCCCCGGTCAGGAACTTGGATTGGTCTAATGCTGGCTCTTCAGCCTTAGCCCTGTGGCCACCTGCTCTGGACAATTCTCTGTTGGAGGGGCAGCTGCCCACTGAGGGGGCTGAGCTGCATCTCCACCTCCCCCTGACCCACCCACTGTGGCTACCTGAAATGTCTCCAGGTGTTTCCAGAGGCCCCTGTTGAGAAGCACAGATTGTTTAGAGTCCTCAGAGTGTGGCCCTGCACCACAGCCTCAGTGGCCCTGGGGAACTTCTTAGCAATGCAGATTATCCTCAGGCCCATCCTAGACCTGCTGAGCCAGAAGCTACAGGCAGGGGCCAGTCACTCATTCCTGATGAGCTCTCCATGATTCTGGGGCCCCCCACCATTGGGGAAGCACCAGCCTGCACTTCGGGATCTCAGCCTGCTGCAGGCTGCAACCACCCTGCTACCTTTCCCAAAATCCCATGGCTGGGCCCTGCCCCAGACCCATCAGGCCAGAATCTTTCCAGAAGAAGCCCAGGCGTCAGTATTTCTCAGAGCGCTCCAGGCGGTCCCAGGGGAGCCCAGCTGAGCATCTCTGGTCTGGTGGAATGCATTAGCTTGCTCTAGGTCTCAGGAAAGCCAGGCCACTACCCAGCGTCTGAGTCAATTAGGACCCCGGGCTGCACAGTAATCACAGCTGCAGAAGGATGTTGGAGGTGTTCCACGCTGGAATCAATAACGTGTTCAAAGGTCACTCTGAGAATACTGCTTCCTGCCCTGGATCTCTGGGCCACCTGAGAAGTACCTGGCCTTGATGCTGGGAAAGGGCAGCTGACAATTGTGTGGCTGGTTCGTCCCCAGCCGTGGCCAGCTGGATGGACCCCTTGCCGCAGAGAGGAAAGTGCTGGAGCAGTGAAGTACTCAGAGTGCAGAGCCCTGATTGTGTTGGGACATCAGAGTGCATTGTGGGAAATGGCGTGGTTCTCCATTATGCACGGCAGCATCCGGTAACTGTGGTAGTTAACACCTTGCTTTGGGGGTTCCTGTGCTCTGAGCCTCGCCTGCTTGGACAGGCTCTGGGGGGGGAGCACATCTTCTACAGTTCCTCTCTGTCTCAGAGGCAGCCACAAAGGCTCTTTGCTTAGAGCTCAGCAAACCCCCGCTTGCCAGGAGAGCCTCTGGCTGGGCAGGAGCATAGGCAAGGTCCTCAGGACAAGGGTGCAGACCCTCGTTGGCTGTGGGCTGTGTGACCAGACTTCTCTGTTGCTTGTCCACTAAATCCAGGTCATAGTGGAGATTGCCAGCCTTCGTTTGGCTGTGGGGGGGATTTGGACTCTAAGAGCACTTTCTAGGTCTTTTCAAGAAATGTTAGGACCTTTCCTTTAAGTCAAGTGAATGCAACCCCGGGACCCTGTCTGGGAGCTGGGGATTACCAGTTGCTACTGGAGCCTCTCCTGACCTCTGCAGGGGTGCAGGAGAGCTGGGGGTGTGCTCTGTCTGGAAAGTGAGCTGGCTTCTGTTTGTGGTTCCATTTAACCAGCACTGACATCCCTAAGGACTGATGGCTCCGTGGGCCCATGCCAGGCGTGGGCACAGGAATCTATGCTGGCACCTCAGGCCTGGACTCCAGCGAGATCACATGGCTCAGGCTTGTGGGCTCCTGTCCAGGAGAGCTTCAGAGACCCCAAAGGATCAGGCTACCTCTGCCAGCTCTTCCTGGTGTCCCAACCCCACCCACACCTGCCTGGTGTAAAGCAGATGCTCAATGAATGTGCTCATTCAACAACTGTTTATTGAAGTGCCAGGCACTGTCCTTGGCACAGTGTGGGTGTCCAGGGACAAAACAGACAAAAGTCGATACTCAGATGGTGACACTGAGTGGGTCAGATAGTTAAGAGGAAAGGGACAAGGAGGGGCCAAAGCCTGCCATGGGTGGTGAGAGAAGAACCCCAAGAAGGTGGCATGGGAACAGGTTTGAGGGTGAGGGAACAAGGCCAGTGGGTATGCTGAGTGCAAAGGTTTTACGCCAAGTGAACACAAGTGCAAAGGTCCTGGGGTGGGAGCCTGCCTGGCTGGTGTGAGGAGCTATAAACCCATTAGTGTGGCTGGAGCAGAGGGCGTGAGGGGAGAGTGGAGATGAAGTGGGGGACACAGGGCTTCTTGGCCGTGTGAACACTGGCTTCTGCCCTGAGTGACATGGGCAGGGGAGGGTGGCCATCAGAGCCAGCCTCCATTTGCAAGGAGTGTAATGTCTAAAAGAAAGAGTGAATTTTCCACCCTCTCCATCGTCCCCACTGGGTGCCCGTCAAGACGCACTTCAAGGAAGAGCAGGGTGGTGACGCGTTGCTTCCTGGGAGCTGCAGGTGGCTTTGGGTCTGAAGCGTCCATCGTGTGTCCAGCCTCCTCTGCATGAGCAGCTGGCCTTCTGGCTGTGGTAGAGTTTTCCAGAGGACAAAAGTCCTGTCCCACTGACCTGCATCTTGTAATACCTCCTGCTGTCTGGCGCACAGTGCGTTCTGCCCACCTCCTGTGGAGGCTCCTTCATGGGGTCCTGAGAAGCTCGAGTCAAGGTCTCTTGCTTTCTAATCTCACTCTGGGCTGGGAGCTGTCTCAAGCACTTGACACATAATGAGTGAGTGTCCCCCACCCCCAGTGCTGGGTACTAGGTATTGTCCCCGAGGGAACTGAGGCAGCATGCTGTAGAGCCCTTGGCCAAGGTCACAGAGCGCACTGGCCCCCAGCAAGGTGTCAAGGCCTCCTGTCTGTCCCAAGACACTGACCCGTCTCCATGTTTCTGGATGCCACATGCAGAATCCTCCCAGGGTGGGGAATTGCCAGCACCCCACCCTGCCACCCAGCATTCAGGGGGGCCTGCTGCATGCACTAGTCCCCAGCTCCTTTCTGACACCCAGAGTCCTCACCATCTGGCTTGCTGCTGAGGTCTCTGACACACCCCTGTCTAGCAGTCCCTCCTGCCTGTCCTGATCCCACAGGGCCCAGCCCCGCCCGCTCCTGGCCAGCTGTGTGCTGAAGCCTCCCACCATCCCCCTGCACTGGCCAGCCCTCGGGGTGCAGCAGGTGCTCTTCTCAGGGTGCAGCTGGGACTGTGCTCCTTCCTGTGGCTGCTGTAGGGCCCCCCCCCAGGGGCCACTAAAACCAGAGACCTGTGCTCTCTGGAGTTCTGGGGCCAGCAGCTCAGAACCAGCTGCTCTGACTGGAGAACTCAAGGAGTGGTGGGCGGGGCTCTCCAGGGTCAGGGAGGCGCCTCCCTGCCTGGCCCATCCTCAGGTGGCCCAGCTGTCCTTAGGTGTGGCTGAAGCACTGCAGTCTCGGCCTCTGAGGTCACATGGCCTCCCCCTCCCCCCTGGGTGTGAAGCCCCTCTGCCTTTTCCTGCTACAGAGGCTTCTCAGGGCACTTAGTTTCCCAGGAGGCTCAGGCTGCTCTCCTCCATCATCATCCTCACTGCCCTGGGAGAGACCCCTCCTTCCAAGCCAGGTGGGAGGAGCCGACCCCAGGAATGAGCCTGGGATTATCTGGAGGGTCTTCTCCACCCTCCATAATGATCAAGACACCGCCACTTCTCTCCTGTGAGCCCTTAGGCCCCACCAACCTCCACAGACCCACAGCGTGTGTCCACTGTCCTGCGTCCTAGTCTACTGGCCACACTGGCCTTCTCTCAGCCTGTCACACAGGGAACCAGCTTCACCCTGGGTGACGAGTTTGTCGGAAATTAGAAAGCAGTGTCCCTCTGGGCAGACACAGCCTGTGCCCTGTGCCCTGAGCTCACAGCTTGGCCTGTGGGCGAGGCTGGATCCAAGCGCCCGACTCCCGCATGGACGGCAGTGCACCCACTGCCTCACCACACCACAGACCCACCACAGGGCCTCTGCACATGCTGCTGCCCCTTCTGCAAATGGAAATCCTTGGTCATCCTTTCAATCTCCACTCGAGTCCCCTCACCAAGAAACCTCCCCTGATCCTAAATCTAGACTGGTGCCTAGAGAAGTTGGCACTTGCACTTCCTGCCATTGATCCCCATCTGCAATGAATCCTGGCAGGTGTGCTATTGACTACCATCTGCCTCCCGTGATCCAGCTGCTCAGCAAGATTGCCTGCCACGCCGACTTGGCCAACAGCATGTGCCCGCTGCATGCAGTAAGCACCCAATGTGCACCGAATGATGCGTGCACCCATGGAACCGACCCTGCCACCAAGGGGTGCCACTCTGGAACCAGCCAGAGCAGTGTGGAGGCTTGGGACCCATGAAAATGGACGAGACCCCTGGAGGGCCAACCCTTCTACCCTCACCGTGTCCTGGAGGGTAGAAGTCCTGGACGCCACCTGCTCCTGGAAGGCAGAGCCAGAGGCCCGTTCACCCCGGGAGCTGCAGTCCTGTGGAGGCTGGAGCCCAGCCAGCCTGGGAATTGCTTCAAATTAATTTGCATAATTGGGCTGCATGTTGGTGTATTAATCAGGCTTTATGGCATCGGGCACTGAGCACAGGCACCGAGCAGCAGAGCTGTTCCCTCTGCCTGTCGAGGCCATCCACGCTGGCCCTCCCGAGGACCCAGGCCATGGGCTGGGGGTGGGACATCTGTCTGCTCCTGTCCTCTGCAGTGTGGGGGTGAAGGCAGAAAGACTGTGCCCCGTGTGGTGACCCCTGCCCGTCCCTCCCTTAGCCCCGGTGGCCAGTGCTCATGTGTGACGAGGACCTGGTCTGACCCTGGGAGCAGGCCGGACCTGGAGCACCCTGTGCGCTGCAGTCCCCACTCCACCCTTCCTCACAGGTGTGCCCTTGGCCATGTGGCTTCCTTCCCTGAGCCTCAGTTTCCCCTTCGGAGGGTGGTGATAGGACCCAGTGAAGCTCTGTAGACCCCGCTGCATGCAGCCCTCGGCTTTCCAGGGCCAGGACCCGGGACCATCAGTGGCCCACTGCGGGGCCCGGCCCAGCCTCATGGCGTCCTTCCAGCTGGTCCCTCCCTGTGTAGGGACTGTCCCCACGTTTCACAGACATGAAACCTGGAACGCCAGCAGTCAGGTAATGGCGTAGCAAGGGTTGGGGCTGGGACCTGAGCCAGGCTGTGGCTTCTGCACCCGGGGGGCTCAGAGCTTCCCTGTCCCTGGGGCACTTCCTGCTCCTCTGGAAGCCACACGCGGCTCCGTGGGCAGCAGCTGTGTTGGTTTTGTCCTCCATCTTGCCCTTGGCCCAGTACCGCGCACACCGCTGTGCACACTGATGGCGTTTAGTGAGTGCCATGTGCAGACACAGAGGGTGGGCCAGACAGTCAGGGGACAAGGGTGGCTTCTTAGAGCCAGAGTCTCTGGAGGGAGGAGAGGTGGTGGGTTGGGTGGCAAAGCGTCTGTTCCTCTCCTGAGCTCTTCCTGCCCTTCCAGGGGAGCAGACCACCCCTATGGAGACCCTCAGAGACAGCCACAGGACATGAAGGGGGTCATCTCCCCCAAACATGGGCTGCCCCTGGACAAGGCCATTTGGAGGCAGGAATCTGGATGAGTGCTTCCTCATCCTTAGGAGGAGATGGCCCCTCCCTCTGTCCCTCCTCCAAGGCAGGCACAATACCCAGCAGGTGGCGAAGGCTTTGAGCAGCATATCTTAATTTCCTTCATTCCTTCCTCTTTGGTGCTGGGACTTGAACCCGGGCCTTGTGCACACTAAGCCCACACCCAACCGCTGAGCTCTCCTGTGGGTACGGACAAATTGACACATTGTAAACATCAGGCCAAGGAGAGGAAACGGAGGGGGTGTCTTGAAAGATTGTGGGGGGTGTTGAGAACAGAAATGAACCCCAGGCTCCATCGTCTTTTTCAGGTTATGGCCACATCTACCCTGTCACCAAGCCTGGCAAGTACCTGTGCATGCTCTATGCCCTCTTTGGGATCCCCCTGATGTTCCTGGTTCTCACGGACATAGGGGACATCCTGGCAACCATCCTGTCCAAGTCCTACAATCAGTTCCGAAAACTCCCTTTCTTCCCTCGCGCCCCCTCTGAGTGGTGCTCTGGACTGCGCTGCAGGAGGAAGCCCATCGCCAAGCCAGGGGTGGCCTCTGTCCCTCGGATCGTCATCAGCGCTGAAGATCCCCGTGGCCCCAAGTCAGGCAAGTGCCCCTCAGACCCAGGCAGCCACGCAGAGCTGTTGAAGAGTCTTCTCTTCGCACAAGAGAAAGAGAACCTGCTGGCCCTGGCCCCACGGACCATGGAGAGGAGCAACTCGTGTCCAGAGCTGGCGCTGGGGAGGCTGTCTGCCTCCATCCTCAGCAACCTGGACGAGGTGGGGTGCCAGGTGGAGAGGCTGGATGTCCCCCTCCCTGTCATCGCCCTGGTGGTCCTGGCCTACATCTCCTGTGCTGCCGCCATCCTCCCCATCTGGGAGACCAACCTGAACTTCGAGAGCGCCTTCTACTTCTGCTTCATCACACTGACCACCATCGGCTTCGGGGACACCAAGTTGGACCACCCGACCTTCTTCCTGTTCTTCTCCCTGTACATCATCATCGGGATGGAGATCCTGTGCATCGCCTTCAAGCTGATGCAAAACAGGCTCCTGCACGTGTACAGGGACCTCCTGCTGTGCCTGGCCACAGGGAGGTGCTGCCACCTGCCTAGGAAGTGAGGGCTCCGTCCACTCCTCAGAGACACACGTGGGGAGCTGGCTTCTCTCCTCGTTTTGGGGTAGTGTGGTTTGAGCAGTGACACTGAAGCCTGTCATAGAGAACCTTGGGGCTTGGGGACAAGCCCTTCATGAAGGCTGAATTTTTGCCTTGTGGCCCTTCAAAATCCACAACAAGCCCTTCATTTCCTCAGCCCAAGTGCAGGTAATCTCTTGTGCACATTTTTAGAAAACACCGCCATATGCGGAGGACAGTACCGAGTGCTCTCACTGATTTCCTGTGACCCAAGATAATCTACCTTTGTCATTAGAATTGTACTTTCAGCCATGTCAACCTTCCTGAGCTGTCCTGACCGGCACTGGGAAGGCACAGAGAGCCTGAGCGACCCCTTCTCTCCAATGACTGCATGAGTGCATGTAGGAGCAGTCCTGTCCCACCCCTGGTGCCACTTGGTGGCAAGGTCACTTGTGTGTACGGGGGCTGGGACATGTCGTGATTGCTGGATTCTATGTGGACCACTTCTCTAAATGCATGTGATGGTGTCCCCTCTTGGGCCGTAAGTGTAGCCTGGTGCCCTCGTGGGTGGATTGCACTTGGTGGGTGGACACACTGGCCCAGTTCCTGTGGGGGGAGGGACACATGAATTCACTGCCCTGTGCATGGATGCTATACGTGCCCTGCTCCATCCCTGTGCATGGATGCTATACTTCCCTTTGCCTCCCTTTGTGCTCCATCTCTGGTCACTAAAGTGTGGGTACATGACAGGCCAGCTGCAAATGACAAGGACCAAATGCTTCCATGAGCAGCACTCAATGACCAAAGGGAGCTGGTGGCTATGCTGTGCCCTGCTCCATTGCCCCTGCCTGGGGTCACTCTGGGTGCTGTATGCTGTCCCCTTCTCTCAGGGGACATGAGCCTCAGGTGCTCCTTGACACACTGTCCACTGGCCTCGTTCGTCTCCTGGTTTGGCTTCTTCCTCTACAGGGACTTCTGGTGGTCACCTCCCTAAGAAATGACTCACAAAATAATCTTTCAGTCAGGGTGAGTCCTGGGGACATCTGGGCAGCAGGAGAGCTGGTGGTGGCACCTGTGGGCTCCTGACTTTGATGTTTCCCTCCTTGGTTACTAGGAACATCTCCTGACTGCATCCTCAACTGAGAGTCTGCAAACTCCACTGGGTCCTGTGAGCACAGTCAGTGAGTCCCTGGGAATGGTGGAGGAAGCTGCTGGGCAGGACCCAGGGGAGACCCTGGAGGATCCTTAGAAAGCAAAGGAAGGCCCTGTCTTCCTGGTCTCTGCTCAGTCTCAGGTTCTGCCCAGCGTCGAGCACCAGCTCTCAGAGGGGTCTTCCATTCTGACCTTCCCCTTCTTCCCCACAACTATCAGATTTTCTGTCCCTGAGGGCCTACTCAGGCTATGGAACTGAACAAAAATCCATCAAAAGCTCAGAGCACTACCTGTTGAATTGGGGGGGGGGGCAGTATCATGTGCTGGGCTTTTGGAAATTTCTCCACATCCCTCCAAGCACAACTGAGATGAGGCAAAGCCCCTGGAACCCTGAGGCCATCAAGACTGGCCACTCAAGTGGGAGCACTTGGTGGAACCCAGGGGCTATTGGACCCGTGGGCTGCTGCCCATTGTCCACGCTCAGGGCATCCAAAGATGTGCCAGGGACATCCTCAAAATCCTGGAAGTCACTTCCTGACAGGCTGGGGGAGCCCTTAGCCAGTCCCTTCCTGAGGCATGGCAAGTCCTGTTCCTATGCAAACATGGACCTAAGGCTGCACGCTATGCAAATCAAAGTCCTGCCCATTTGCTTGTTTCATTTGCTAGTCAGACTTCTTCCATGGCTCTGAGGACATGGGCCAGGGTGACATCCTGCCCATTCCTGGCCCTGCCTCCTATGCCTGCCTCTTGGGCTATTCCTGTGCAGGAAGGTGAATTCCTTTCTCCATGGAGCCCTGGACTCACACTGACACCTGGGGATCAAGTGCTTCAGGTGCCTGGCCCCTTCCTCATCTTAGCCCAGCAGCTGTAACCAGCTGCTGTGACTGCCGGGTGCATTGCCACAGTTTACTTCTCCTGGTTCTGGAGACTGGATGTGTGAGGACAGAGCTAGCAGGGCCGGGTCTTGTGAGGTCCTCTTCCTGGTGTGTGCACACACAGGGGGATCTCAGGTCACTTTACTTCCTCTTGCTTGGTTAACATTTGCAAAACAGATGCAATTAAAAATGAGCACCCAGAATCGACAAAGTCTCAACAATATGAAAACAAATAACCATAGTCCATCAGGATACAGACACAGCATCTGAACACATGTGTCACCAAAGCTCACCTCCTGTTCTCCTGAGTGCACTAGTCCCATCCTGAAGGCTCCACCCTGCTGACCTCTGTCCACCCATTGCCTCCCAGAGGCCCCACCTCCCTGGCACTTAGAGTTTCCACCTAGGACTCCTGGGGGACACAAGCTCTCAGTGCATAGCAACTCCCAAGACTCAGATGCCAGTGGTCTGGGGTGTGTCTGGGCTTGGGGTTTTCAAAGGTCCCCACGTGGTCCCAATGTGTGGCCAGACTGAGCAGCAGGGCAGCAGCTGCTTTCTCAGCCTGAAATGCCCATCTCCCCTCTGGGGTGGAGGAAGACTTGCCTCGAGGCTCCCTCCACCTGGGATCCCTCCAGCTAGTGGCCTGGGCTCCTGGAGGGGTCACTCTTGTGCCCCATCCTCCCACTGCATCCCTGTTACAGGGCTGGAATGGGGTGCTTGCCTTCTATGTCCTCTCCAAACTCTGAGCTGCCCAAATAAAACCACCACGTTTCTCTCTTCATTGTTCTCTCCTTTTAATCCTCCCTCCCCCACCTTGCTGGGTCAGCTGCGGATGGGACTCTGCCTGGTCCTTAGGGCACACAAATGCCAAGACAGCAGCCTGCATTTTCTGCACACCTGCCCGGTGCCTTTTCGGCTCTCAACCCTTCGTGCAGCATCTCAGCCCATGTTCTTGGCAGCACTGGGTTAGGTCCAATGGTCTCCATTCTACAGATGAGGAAAGTGAGGCCAAGCAGCCAGCGTTCACACCCAGGCCCAGTTTGACTCTAAGTCAGTGGTCAGTGGACAGCAGCACCAGTGCACCTGGGAACTGTGAGAAGCAGATTCTCAGTTTCCACCTGAGACCTGCTGAAGCCCAAGGCTGGAGCTTGGCACGCCCTTCAGGTGAGTCTGATGCTTGAATCAGGTTTGAAACCATTGCAATAACCACCCACCGTCTCCCTGTGGGAACAGTGATGGGGACAGCAGCCTGAGGAAAGGTAAGAGGTGGGATTCCAGTGTGGGAAGGGATGCTACAGGGCAGGGCCTCTGGGCAGTGAGGCCTCCCAGGACTGGAATCCCTCAGTCCCTCAGGGTGCCATTCCTGCTCATTTGCAAACTCAGGGCCTCTCCTGGTGTGGAGGAGGCTGCTTCTTGCAGGGTGGGTGGGTGGGGGAGGATGATTAGGGCCTCACTTGGGGGATCCTCTCAGCTGTCCTGCAGGACCCAGCTCTACCAGACTCAGCCTCTGAATTAGGAGGTCTAGAAGGTGCCCAGCCACTCCTGCTCTCTGGAGGAGGGGCCATTTAGTGGTCACCTGCTGTGTTCCTACTCAGGGGAAATGCCCTCTTCCCTCCTGCAGCTCATTTCTGCCCTCCCTGTGCCTGGATCAAAGCTTTGGTGGCATGCAGTGCCATGGCGGCGGGGAAGTGTTGGGCCAGTTGTCTGCCAGCCTGGCAAGAGGTATTGCTAGCGCCACCTTTTTTAAAAAAAGGAAGAAAAGGAAGTTCAGGGGCTAAGTGATGAGTTCAAAGTGACAGCCAAAGGGATGGGTCGAGGGTGATGAAGGGAGCCCCTCCGGGAGGCCCGATGGGGGCACCCCAGGGGCGGTGCCAGCGGGCTCTGGGGAGAAGAGCAGTCAGCATCGGTGTTCAGCTGGGCGCCGCCCCGCAGAGTCCCAGGTGTGTGAGGCGCTGAGGATCCTCTAGGGCACCATCCTCTTCCCCTGGGCTCCACCGCAGCAGAATGTGAAATGTGCGGTTTAGACGGTGGCGGACCTGCGCTTCCCCGTCGATGCCACCAGGTGGCGCCGCCAGACCGCGAGGACCTGGCTCTCTGGACCAGTCAGAGGTGCCTCTGGGCCTCCAGGTGCCTCCCAGGAAGGGAACACAGGGGAGGGGATGCTTCTCACCTTGTCCCCAGAGAAGAGGAACCTCTGATGTGCCCCATCTGCTGGAGGACCCCTGACAAGCAGAAGTCGGCTTCTGTGTGTGTCCTGAGGACTGTGTGGGACAGCCCTCATGGTCTTGCTGCCCTCTGAGGTTTGGGAGTCCTGCCTTGTCGCCAAAGGTGACCAGCAGGAGGTGACCTGGTGTTCCAGGACACTGGCCCGTGGGCTGCTGTATGCTTTGCTCAGGGCGGGCTGCTGCCCCAGCTTGTGAGGGCGCCTGGCCAGCGGGGAGAGAAGGAACCCGACCCGCCATGAGCGCTCCCTGCCTCCCACCCAGGAGCCACCCTGCGACCACCGCCCACCACAGCTGTGTGTGCGTTGCTCACGGTGATTCACCTTGCTCTGGCACATGCTGGAGCATGGTGGTCCTCGGTGAACACCTGTTGCTCACAGGAACGCCTCCCCAGTCCCCGGGGAAGATCCATGTTGGTGTTTGGGTCCAAGCCTTTGCCCCTGACGGCTTGTGCCAGAGCACTGGGCTGAACCTGCCCAGAACTGCTGGAACCTTCCCTGGCCGGTCCCCTCCCAGATTTGGTGGGAGGGCCTGGGTCAAGCCTTAAAAGGCCCCTGTTGAGAGGAAGGACCAGAGACTGTTGAGTCCCTTTAGGGGCCATAGAGGGCAGCGGTGGGTTCACTTGCTTACTTGGGACCTCCTGTGTTCAGGAGGAGCTCTCATCATGAGTTGGCGTGGTGGAATGGTTTCGTTCGTATTTGTCAATGTTGTGATATTTTTCAATTTGTCATTTTTTCA